TTAAGCCAAGGTTAGCCTTAAGGATGATTAAGGTTAATAAAATAGCACTAACACTATTTGGGAGCATGTGGTAGCCTTATTTTAATGGACCTTTTGTCCCCTAGTGCATTGGGACTTGACCAGCCATATTTCCTACCGATATTCCTTCCAAATGCAGCAAAAAACCTCTGCCAAGACCAGCCAAGTCGTTCCCCAAGGCCTTCCAAAGTCCCATGTGCTTTGGAAAGGGAATTTGTCCTCATTTGCTTGCATAGGTTTCTCCGCCCATGACCTCCTCATAAGCCTCACTTCCTCAGCTGAGAATAAGTGTTGGATACTTACTTTTTTCGAGTTTATAGAGAGAAATAGGAGAGATAGCCGAGAGATAAGAGTATAGCCTTGCTAGTGTAAAGAGAAGCAAGCACCGAGCTATCTCTTGTTATAACCAAGTTTTGCTACACCAAGCCAAGTTCATATCATCTCTGGGAGTATAAGGAGTTTAGAGAAGCCATCATTCTCAACCAAAGGCCACCGAGTCAAGCCACGGCCTATAGCGACCCGAGGAGACCCGAGTTAAGGGCTTGAGTCTCATTTTCGACTTCGGTGAAGGTTAGCTCATGCTATCTTTTTATCCTAGCTATAACATGATATTTTAAGATTTATCATGTAGTGAAATCAAGTTTTTCTCAGGTAGAATGAGAAAATCGGATTTTTGAAGTTTAAAGCCTTAAAATCGTATTTTTCGTTGCATGCATGTTTAGCCCGAGTTCTTGAGCTTAAAAATCCTTAAAAATCATGAGTAATATAGGGTTAAAACAGGTTCTTAAAATGAGTAAGGGTGCTCGGTCATCTAGAGCTTTATTTTTTTTTTCGAGGAAATAAGCCTCCGAACCACATTGTTATGCATGTTTGAAGGGACATTAGTGTGTTCTTGATGAATCCTCGTTAAAATCGTGTTAGGGCTGTGGACTATGGAACATTTATGAGTCTTTGGCCTCATGGTGAAGGCCTTAGACGTTTTTGTTGAGTATGTGGTCATATATGTATTTTTGAATCTGGAGTTGCTACTGATTTTTACAAAAATCATCATAAATCGTGTGCTTGTCTTATTGCTGTGCAATTCGAACTGTATGACCTTCTTTTAGTATGTTATGTGGTGTAAAAATTTCAAGTCGAAATGATTTCTGTAGCTAGGTCAAATGTCGATTTGAAATTCTGGGCAAAAACTTTGAAAAATCATTAAAAATCGGATTCTTGGTGTTTCGTTGTGATTTTTGGTGAGTATTAGTAATCTGATGTTATATGTGTTGTGTTCAAATTTCGTTGGAAAATTCAAAGGATTGCCCGGTGAACTAGAAAATTTAGATTTGCATCCCCTTTCGTAAAAAAATTGGTTACTCAGGTTAAACTGAGGTCTTGAGTATAAAACTTGGTGAAAACGTATCTTTCTGAGTCTATTTCTATGTGTAAAAAAATTGGTTACTCAGGTTAAACTGAGGTCTTGAGTATAAAACTTGGTGAAAACGTATCTTTCTGAGTCTATTTCTATGTGTAAAAATTTTAAGTCAATCGGTCGAGTGAATTATAA